ACGCGCACCTGCACTGCTGTGTATCTCCAAGAATCCTTGTTACTGAGCTCTTCGTGTAGCTCTTTATTAATTACTGTAATTAATAATGCACCCCATAATCCTGTAATTAGTTCATACAATATTCACAATTCTGAACTAAACGTATTTTCATTGGTAAGGCATTGAATCAAGAGCTTATATAATCAGTTTGTATAAAGTTTCAATCGAGCCCGGTTAGCTCAGTCGGTAGAGCGTGGGACTTTTAATCCTAAGGCCAAGGGTTCGACCCCCTTACCGGGCGCACTTCTTTTCCTACTCTAAAAAAACGTTTTTATTGTTGTCAATATATTTTTATTGGTATTTTAAAACATTCTTATCTATTTATCATTTTTTTTCTTGCCAGGCCAAAGCAATTTTGAGATAATGAATAACTATTAACAGCTTAGACTTTTCAATGTAGTTTTCATTGGAAATATATGTACTCTGAGCTACTTTTCGCATGGAACAAACAACCACGATTGTTTTAGCTATTTGCTGTTGACTTCTTAGGTTGAAAACCTAACAAAACACAAATGAATAAATAAATAAATAAATAAATTTACTCAAACAGTTATTTTTTTTATTTTAGGAGGAGTTCTCCTACATAAAATCCATGCTCTGATATTATCACCTAGTTTCTTACTTTGGCCAAGGAACATTTAAACATGTATAGAATGGGCTTTGCATCATGTATTCTTGTTATACTGCTTGTTATACTTGTTAAAGTGGGAGGGTCGTCACCTGCGCACGCGCGGGAATTGAGTCCCAAGCGACGATAACAACACACGCTAAAAACGCAAAGGCTCAGGGGTATACACTTGTAAACAATGACACGCTATGGCCATATGACGCATGCGCAGGTGACGACTCCCCCGCTTTAATTATTACTAATGTATTGAAATACCACAAAATAAAATTAAAAGAAAAATGACGACAAAGGTGACAAACATTTTTATGCTAATTACTATTTCACCACGGTTTTTTTCTTGTGTGAATTTATGGCGATGGCTACGGAAATTACGACTAAATCGAAATCGGTAAGATTCAAGGGACGGCAGCGATGAACCCGAAAACGTTATTTAAGGCAAATGAACACGTGAGGCACACGAAACCGTTTCAAATCATCGTACAAAACACGAATCAACCATTGAGGGAAATTGAATCACTCGCTTTTGATGGTTTCATAATAAGTGAATTGTTAAAACCGTGTTTATTTTATCAGAAATTGAAGACCTCGAACATACTTTTGCAAAAAGTATTTTTTTGATAGCTCAGCGCATTTAGGTCTATGTGCTGCAAGTTGAGTGCACAAAGTGTTAAAAGAAAGTTCATAAACTTAAATATGTCTGTGCAATAAAAAATCTACAATAATCTGTATATATTGTGTCTGCTATGTATTTTTTTCTGCACATAACACAATTGATTGCCCCCGGGCAATGGCTAAAGGGCATGCCCCCTTTATTCAATTTTAAAATAGCTTGACCCCCTCTTTTTTCCCGGCATCCTCCCAAGCCGGAT